TCAACATGTAAAGAAGTAGAAGTACAGGTATTTGTGTTCAACATGTAAGAAGTAGGAAAGTACAGGTATTTGTGTTCAACATGTAAGAAGTAGAAGTACCAGGTATTTGTGTTCAACATGTAAGAAGTAGAAAGTACAGGTATTTTGTGTTCAACATGTAAGAAGTAGAAAGTACAGGTATTTGTGTTCAACATGTAAGAAGTAGAAAGTACAGGTATTTGTGTTCAACATGTAAGAAGTAGAAAAGTACAGGTATTTGTGTTCAACATGTGAGAAGTAGAAAGTACAGGTATTTGTGTTCAACATGTAAGAAGTAGAAAGTACAGGTATTTGTGTTCAACATGTAAGAAGTAGAAAGTACAGGTATTTGTGTTCAACATGTAAGAAGTAGAAAGTACAGGTATTTGTGTTCAACATGTAAGAAGTAGAAAGTACAGGTATTTGAGTTCAAACTGTAAGAAGTAGAAAGTACAGGTATTTGTGGTCAACATGTAAGAAGTAGAAAGTACAGGTATTTGTGTTCAACATGTAAGAAGTAGAAAGTACAGGTATTTGTGTTCAACATGTAAGAAGTAGAAAGTACAGGTATTTGTGTTCAACATGTAAGAAGTAGAAAGTACAGGTATTTGTGTTCAACATGTAAGAAGTAGAAAGTACAGGTATTTGTGTTCAACATGTAAGAAGTAGAAAGTACAGGTATTTGTGTTCAACATGTAAGAAGTAGAAAGTACAGGTATTTGTGTTCAACATGTAAGAAGTAGAAAGTACAGGTATTTGTGTTCAACATGTAAGAAGTAGAAAGTTCAGGTATTTGTGTTCAACATGTAAGAAGTAGAAAGTACAGGTATTTGTGTTCAACATGTAAGAAGTAGAAAGTACAGGTATTTGTGTTCAACATGTAAGAAGTAGAAAGTAAAGTACAGGTATTTGAGTTCAACATGTAAGAAGTAGAAAGTACAGGTATTTGGGTTCAACATGTAAGAAGTAGAAAGTACAGGTATTTGTGTTCAACATGTAAGAAGTAGAAAGTACATGTATTTGAGTTCAACATGTAAGAAGTAGAAAGTACAGGTATTTGTGTTCAACATGTAAGAAGTAGAAAGTACATGTATTTGAGTTCAACATGTAAGAAGTAGAAAGTACAGGTATTTGTGTTCAACATATAAGAAGTAGAAAGTACAGGTATTTGAGTTCAACATGTAAGAAGGAAAATTAAAAAGTCAGAAAAATTATTTGTGGAGTAGTACTGATACCAGAACAATGTACTAACTGTACAGTAACGAAGTATTTGTACTCCACTACTTCCGACCTCTGCATTTATAATATAGACCTGTTTGAGTATCGGATGGGGTCAAAATAATGTATTTTAAATGCTGGTAAACAGACACTACACGAACACTATAGGTCAACAAGGAAGAACAAGACAAAAAACTGAGGTGCAAAAATGGTTTAAATCAGCAGACACCACCGTCACCAAGGGAAACGTAAGCCGATGGGGACATCTGGTGGTGCAACACACACACACACGAGACTGTACACACAGTTATTAACCACACACACACTAAACTGGAGGAAATGGATGCGGCAACACCACGCATATGTTCATATTTATATGGCAATTATACGGTTTTGTTTTTTATTAAAAAAGAACACTGGTGGGTTGATACATAAGGTCATGCCTAGATTCCCATTTGGGAGAAAAAGGCAGTTGCTGATCAGTTTTGGACAAAATAAGCAACTTGAGGACACACTTGCCAACCTTGAGACCTCAGTGGATCAACGGGGGGTCGAGTTGTCCATCCTTGTTCTGTTTTTCTGTGACTATCTAGTTGCGCACGCTACTAAAGAGACGCGCTGCCATGGAAACCAAACAATGGTGTAGCTGTAATAAAGTCCGAGTGGAAACAGTCGTGTGTCAATCTGATTTTGTCAGAAATCGGGAGAAATATGACCCCGGGAGGGCTATGAAATCGGGAGTATCCCGCGAAAATCGGGAGGGTTGGCAAGTATGCTTGAGGATGAAATGAAAACTGAAAAGGCCATATTTTCTTCCCTTTCTTGTAGTGTGGTATAAAAAAAGGTGTGGTCTGCAAAGGCTGAAATCCCTGTGTTCCCTCCAGAAGGAGTTTCTCCCACACACTAAGGAGTAAATTAGCCTTCTACATTGTTGTGTGCTGATGTAGGAGAGCACCAACTTAGTGTGACCAGCAGCTAGAAATTAATCATTGATATAAAAGTATGATAACAAGAATATCACCACAACATTTCATAACTAAATGAAAGTGACAGTGAAGTCTCTGTCTTTTTATTTACATTTCACAGATGCAGAGAAACACACCATGATATTCACACCTGCATGACGCTCCTTCAAAAACATCTGGAGAAGACAGGAGAGGGGACAAAGCAAACAGGGTGAACAAAATGTTTAACAGCAACCGCTCACATCCTCTCCACCCAATAACCTCCATTCACAGCATGCAGCTACTGTCATTAGTCCAAAGGCACATTCTCTCTCTTGTCCATTAGTGTCATGGGTGGGTAAGGGTATCTTTCCGTCACATTGTCATCATTCCAACCAAATGAACATATCTCGCTTTTGGCAGGATTAAAAAAGTTGTATAGAGAAACCAAAACCACCTAACTAAAGAATATAAGATTGTTTCTTAACGAAACTATGCCTCCGAGGAAACAGATCCCCTAAAATGCTCTGATTCCCGCTTCTCAAATGTGAAGATTCAAAGCTTTTCTGTTTCATATCATTGTAAATCTTTTTTTAGACTTAAGACATTCTTTAAGAAGTTGTGATGTACATTTTGTCGTACTTCTCTGATATATTAAAGGCCAAATCCCAGTTTATACATGACTTAAAGTACAAGTTAGACCAGTCTCAACAAAACACAGTCTGATCATACTTTTGGCATTAGACCGTTTCTTTATATTATGGACACTTTGGTTCATACAACATATTGAGGTTTGATACCAAGCCCTGCCTGGTGCATGGTAAAGAAGCTAAAACCAGCCAGACAGAAGGTCAGTTACCCCTGACCAACAACAGCAGGACAACAAGTGTCCCCCCCCTCCACCCTCCATGTCCCCCCGGCTCAGGGAGCAGCCAGCTCCCGCAGCAGCCTCTCCTTCTCCAGCTGCAGCTCCATGATGCTCTGCTTGTTCTGCTCCAGCCGGTCCTCCAGCCACTGCAGCAGCGGGCCGCTCACCGCAGACATCTGGCTGCACAGGTTCTTGGTGAACACCGAGCCGTTGTGGATCTTGGTGACGGGGTCCAGGTGCGCCAGGCTGTGGATCTTGCGGTAGGTGTCCTGCTCCTCCTGGCACAGGATCCTCGGCAGCTCCACGGCGGACTCCAGGCACACCTTCCCGATGGCTTCACGGGGCACCACGTGGATGGGGATCTCCACCCGCTCGTACTCGGAGCCCTTCTGCACGGACTGGAAGCAGGTGTAGAGCACGCGCCCCGTCTTGGTGTTCTTGTCCTCTATGAAGCAGGAGAAGATGAGGCCCACGAAGCACTGGTCCAGCATCTGGTACATGGCCTGCGTCCTGACATCGACGTGGGAGGGCCACACGGTGATGTGCGGGTGGGAGTGGTACCAGCCCACCACGCGCATCGGACGGCCGGTCATGTCTGCCAGCCGCTCCGCCTCGGTGGAGGCCGCGGACAGCTGCTCCGGGGAGATCTCCACCCGGTCCTTCCTCTTGTCTGAGCGGCGGAGGATGATGACCGAGTGGATGTGGACGATCCTGGCAGGCTCAGCCTCTCCGATGCACAGCCCCATCACCTCCTCCTTCTCCGTGCTCAGCGCGTGGTTCATGCACACAAGGAAGGCGTCGGACTCCAGGTGAACCGCACTCACCGCCATGATGTCAAACTACTGAAGTGTACCGTCGCCCCGGACCAAAACATAAACAGCAGCGCTTCACTTCCGCGTTCTGAAGTGCCGCATAAAAACAGTCCGTGTTGGTGCAAGCGGATTTGATATAAGGTTCCGCTTATTTTCAAGTGACTTCTTCATCTTCTTTGGTTTTAACGGCTGGCAACCAGTTTTAAAGGTGCATTAAGGGCCTTAGGCCACCTACTGTATTGCATTGTGGACCAGAATTATCTACCCCCCCCCCAAAAAAGTTACATTCTTAAATTCTCTTAATTCAGCTCGTCTTAAATAATATATTGGTCTAATATCTCTTTGAGAGTTGGATGTTCCAAGCCTTCTGATTTCTGTCTGTAGAGTTTCTCTTGTCTGTATTTGTCACAAAACTTTTACCGAAATAACGTGCATTCATATTAATTGTTTATTAAAGTAGGACTATTTTACTTCACTTTACTTACTATTTACACCTCATCTTAAATATATTACTTCTCATTATTCGTATACATTTAGTACATTCACTTAACCTGTCGGAAATAATTCCTAACCCACATTTATATACATTTTTTTATGTATTCTCCCCAGACCGTGGCTATATTTTAACTTGTATTATTTCCCCTTTTATATTGTCATTTGAACTTGCGTGGTTTTTCTTTTATAACGTATTTAGTGACAATGTAGATATTTATTTTTGCTATCATTGCCAACTGTAATTGTTGTGCATATTATTCGGAAATTTTAATCAAGAAAATATGTCAGAAAAAGATAATTATAAATGCTGCATAAATACGGAAACATTTGCCAAAAGTACTCGTTAGGCCATATTATGATAATAATAAAAAACTTGTATTTTCCTCTAAATTCAGTGAAATATAAAAATTAAGTAATTCAAATGTAAGAAAGGTACACACACACACACACACACACACACACACACACACACACACACACACACACACACACACACACACACACACACACACACACACACACACACCTCAAAACTCTGCTTTAATAAAACAAAACGTGTACATGATAACCAGAGAGCTGTTTGCTTTCAGTTGTCAATGCTTTTTTATGCTGTAACACCTAGAGATGTAGTCAATGAAACCAAAATGAAATTATAAAGTTTATTTGCAAAGTGCTTTTCATTATAGTTGTACACAGCAATAATCATAAACCAGGTGTATACAAAACATAATCACAAACATGTTACATCAATTAAAAGTGAAAGTGTAATTGTTAACATATATTAAAAATAAGGCTCTGCAATCACTGTGCTACTTTAAACAATTTATATAAAAAAGTGCTGCAATAAGTGCAATTTGGTTTTGCTCTGCCTTTCATGTAGATGTTGTACCTGAAGCTAATTCTATTATAATACATAGTCAGGTCAAATCAATATGCAAAACCTGTTATCAAACCCCTTCTTTCTACTCAAGCTTTGAAAACTCAGCAGATCCGTTACCGAAGAAGGCAAACACACCAAACCCAGGACAGAGCGGCTCAGTGAATGTGGTGTGGACTCTGTGGAGGAGAGTCATGGTTTCAGAGACGCTGTAGAAGGAGAGAACGCCTGCACTGTGATCCAGGTACACTCCTACTCTGGAGGACCAAGGACCTGAAATCACAATGTTAGTACCTTTATGTCTGAACCCATAACTGTTGTTAAAACACTCCAAAGCCCAAGACTTGTCATCATTTCCGAATCCACTTTCATATCCTGTTCTGCTGATGTCCTTGTACGTGACTGCTACCGACACCTCGAATCCGTTCCTCTCCACCTCCCAGTAATGACGTCCGCTCAGGCTCTCTCTGCTCAAGACCTGAAACATGTCCGTAAATCTGTCCTGATGGCTTGGATATAACAGTCTTTCACTCACTACTGTTGCTTTTCTGTTGCCCTCAGATAACAACAGCCGTGCGTTTGCTGTGTTTGGATCCAGTGTGTTTTTCTGGGAATGTCGTAAGAACTCAGCTCTGGTCTTGGGCTCTTCCTGTAGGAGTAAAACATCCTCTTCTTCAGGCTGTGAGATCTTAGTCCACGCATCAGCGAGGACGTCCTGTAGTTTATCTCTGACCTCCGACACAGCTCCGCTCACGTCTTCAAAGTACTGCACAGGGCGGGTATTGATGCTAGGTGAGTCTGTAGGTTCACCAAGACATGACAGTGAGGGGTAATGGTGTAGGAACTGGCTGTGATCCCCTGTGTGTGAGAGCTTTTCCAACTCAATGTCTTTCCTCCTCAGCTCATTGATCTCCTTCTTCAGCTTCTCCTGAATCTTCATGGCCTGACTCACTTGACTTTTCTGCCGGTGTTTGATCTTCTGCCTCACATCAGAGCTGCTACTCTTGCTCAAACTGACCACCTGAGTGAAGATCTTCTCGCTGTCAATCACTGCTTTATCAGCGGAGAGATTGATGGCCTCCACCTCCTTCTGAAGCAGCTTCACATCTTTCTCTCTCTTCTGGATTCTCTGCTGGATGTTTTGCCGACTCACCCCGAGCTCTTTCTGCTTCTCTGTCCTTTCTGTTGAGGCTAAGACGGTGTCATGGCCCTTATGTTCATCCATGGAGCAGAGCATGCAGATACACTGCTGATCTGTGCGGCAGAAAATCTTCTTCTCCTTACCATGACGAGTACAAATGATCTCCTGAGGCTTTTTTGAGGGGTCGACCAGCTTGTGTTTTCCAAAGGCAGGGGATTCATAGTGAGGCTGGAGGTGCTGCTCACAGTAAGAGACCAGACACTGCAGACAGGACTTCAGAGCTTTCTGTTTTCTCCCAGTGCAGACATCACATCCCACATCTCCAGGTCCAGCATAGCAGTGATCAGCTGGAGACGCTTTGACGTCTGTCTTCTTGTTCTTCACTTCCTCCACTAACTCTGCCAACACGGTGCTTTTCATCAGGACAGGCCTCGGTTCAAAGGTCTGTCTGCACTGAGGACAGCTGTACACATGTTTGTGATTCTCTTCATCCCAGTGGCTGTTAATACAGTCCATACAGTAGCTGTGTCCACAGGGAATAGTCACCGGATCCTTCAGTAGATCCAGACAGATGGAACAGCAGAGCTTTTTACAATCCATGAGGTTTTGTTGCTGTGCCATTTCACCTCTCAGAGAATGTGAACTAGTTTCACTTTCTTATAAAAAGTGATCCAAACTAAAGCTCATTTCCTTTTCCTCACTTCTGCTCGCTGATCTTCACAACATGTGGGTCACAGTTATGTGTTACTGGCAGATCTGCAAAGGAGGCAGGGAGGAGAACAAATCTGGCCTGAATGGGACTGTCCTGTTGGACAACAGGAAGAGCAGGCGGGGCTTCTACTATCCCTTTCATTCCAGGGAGAGGAGTGGAGCAGCAAGTCTGTTTAACATTAATCGATTAAGGGACGAAAATAGAGGTGAAGGACATTTCCAGATGCCTTACTTAAGTAAAAGTACTGATAGGAAAATACTCTCGCTCCTAATGAATAGAGCAAAAGTATGTAGTGTTAGGGAAATAATTGTCCTAGACTCCTAGATATGACGTGCTTGACCAACCCTGACGTCTATGACCGGGCAACTCTCGGTCACAGATGGTTTATTGTTGTGGGTACACTGGGACACTTCCTTCTCGGTGTTTGTGGACTCCAAGGTGTGAAATCTTCGAGGCCATAAGTGTCAGACGCAAGTAACTCAGTGTTCCCAACTGTTTAGGCTATCTTCTCAAACATGTTGATTACTCTCTGCGAAACCAGTTAAATGGGCTAACGAGAGAGAGGCGCGCCAGAATTGACGTGGCAACTCTCCCGTGCAGTCAGACCGTGGCTGCTGTGACTTGTGATGTGAATTCTCCGGCCGAAGCTCCAAATAAACCATCAGTGTTTGACATCAAAGCTCCTGCTCTTCCCGTGTCTCTTTCCTGAGTCGGTGACTCCCACTGCATTGCTGCACAGAAGTTTCCCTTACATGTAGGAGCTATTATCACTCATGGATTCATGTAAAAGCAGTTTATTTTTACTGTTTGGTTATGGTGGAAATAATGATTAGTTTCATTATTACTTAATCTCCTGATTTTGTCTTTAATTAAATGATTGGTTGTTCGATTTGTGAAAAAGAATCAAACAGTGAGATATAAATGACAAGTTCTCATAGCACAAAGTGACACATATACAATGCTTTCCATCAACCAGTACAAGGACACATTTCTCAATAGTTACAAATAAATCTAAATTAATAAAAAACAATATTCAAGGCTTTAAAGATAGCTCCTTTAAATATTTTTGAATAAACAATTGTCAAAATAGCTGCCAATGTATTTATTTTTAATCCAAGTACAGTTTCAGGTGAACTTTTATAATTCTAGTAATGTTTAAGAAAATGTCCTTTTATAAGTTCTTCATTTGTTTTCTATCCACTATTTTGTCAAATAACTGCTGACCTAAATAAATGAAGTGGATTAAAAAGTACAATATGGAGTGGTAGTATCAAGTGGAATGAATATGCCACATTGATTTATAAAAGGTGTCTTCCATACAGCCTGTCAGCAAAAAATACAAACGTTAAGGCTGTTGTCACTATTTCCCTCAACTCCTTCCCCCTCAGTTTTAATAGCTTTCTTTGTCATGCCTGTGTTTCACCACCATGTGTCCCACTTGGCTTACAATTCATTAAGTTTAGTTTCCTCCCGTTTGTTAGTTCATTGGCTTGTCTTTGTAGTTTCTGTTTCTGTCTTAAAAATAGACAATAGCCCAACCTTTCAAAAGTTAAACACAATTGTAACCACATTTATCCAATAAACATTAAGACTACAAAACAAAAATAAACCTCATGATGAGTTCCAGAAATCAGGCGGTCATGTAAGGTAAATGTAACTGTTCATTAATAGTTAGATCAACTTATTTTAAACAAAGATAACATTGACAGGCCCAGTCATGACTGTAACTTCAATATCTTAAAGGCTTCATTTTAGTAATGAACATTGGATCAAAATATTAACATGCATATTTCTGTGTGTTTATTCACAGGGGAAGAAAAAGAGGGGGATCTTATGGAAATGGTAATTTTACATTAGATACAATTCGTACTCCTTTCCACATTTCTGGTCTCAATCCTGCAGCACTCTACTCTATATGAAGACACAATTGTGATTTGAACTAAATGCTTATTTTCTACAACTATTCAATATCCAAAGAAAAGTGGTCCTGCAGGTTGGCCCACAAGTATCACTGTAGCATCCAATGGCCTCACAGAACTGTGCAGCGGTGGTAGTCCAAATTAGCTCCTTGTATTAACGGTCTAAATGTGGCTATCATTTTCAAAGAAACCGCAGCACTACTGGTTAGAATACTGCAGCCACAATCCACCTACTATGGCAGTTCTGAGGTACAGGAAGTTGATACTTATTATAAATCCCTTGTCATGTAGACGTATTTTAATGGATCGGTTCAAACCCAAAGGATATGTGTAGGATACAATTGAACAAGGCAGTTTTAGTAGAAGTAAAAATCAATGCCTTGGAAATACATCGTGGGGCAAAGTATGTTTTCCTTGATACAACTGTCTCTATGTTCCCTGAATAACGAGACTGGAGGACCACTCTCATGTCCCCATGGCAACAGTTTGGGGTGGTAAAACTTTGATCTTCAACGTGGCTTGACATCAGCACATGCATGATCAAATGTGGATTCACTCATGCATGCCTTAGCATGCACACGCACAGCATAGACACACACACACACACACACACACACACACACACACACACACACACACACACACACACACACACACACACACACACACACACACACACACACACACACACACACACACACACACACAAAATGTCAACTAATAATCAGCATAGGCTTGCTAGTAAGATGTTGTATTCAGGAGTCGATAGAGCATTTCCTCGTGCACATCACGTGTTTGCAGTCTTGGCATCCATTACGACTAAGATGCTGGCAGTAAGATTTGATCGGGAGATAAACAGGACACCACTAAGTATGGGTTGAAATAAAGAGGATTAGACTGTTCTTTTCAAATCCAAATATATGGTTTGATTATGTTTCTAAAAGGTCCCAGTGATTTCCTAAAACAGCTGGGCACTGTAGTTTTCAGCGAATGTTCTCTAAACAGGACTTGAAAGTGTATTTGTTCGGGACTATCCTCACCTGTGGTTATCACACATTTGGTAGTGAGTATTTGGAGGGAGAAAAACTCCCTCTGGAGGGTTCTTTAGGATGTTAGCCTTTGCAGACCATTTACATGCACAAAAACTGAAAAACACACTCCAGGAAAGGGAAAACCCCCAAAAGCACAATAGGGCCCCTTTAACTGTACCACATGGTATACATGCTACATTTAGTGTATGCCAGTTTAAGTGATGTGTATATAGTGATTCTGTTAACAGCTTAATATTATGCATGCAATCACATCATTCAATGAAAGTGAAATGCTGTTGTTGTTTTTGTTTCATCGTCTGTACGACAAAATGTGGTTCACATTTTCTTTTATCAGGTCACAAATATCTCCACTATCTCCCTCATTGTGAAAACTCATTTTTACAATATTCAGTGCTTAAAAATGATAAATTAGACCTAATCTCTTGCAGCTTAAGCTTTGTTTTTATCGGGAAGTTTGGTGACTTTGAGCTCTGTTATGTCTATCTGTATGCTTCGGCCTGGCCTGCCTGTTTGCCCTTCTCGCATTGTCTCTGTTCTTCTTCCGTCCTGTAGAAAGAGTACAGGAGGGATCTAGAAGAAGGAGTGATTCTATTATTATGTATTTATTTAGATGTTGGTATGCACTCCGTATTCCAGGTTCTCTGTAGTGATACCAATATTGCTCAAAAAGTAAACAATCTTGGGTAAATAACGTTCCCCTTACATTGTTTTCTTGGACTGTACTGGACGCATCACCATATGCTTTCATTTTAGTTTAAGTTAATTACGCAAATTTGTCTCTGTAAGGAAAATATGTGATCATTATTTTATGTATTCATATACCATGGCTGGTTTGCTCATCAGTGTGCTTTACTAAATGTAAACCGTCCAAATGGCTCCAAAGTTATTTCCTGTTACAATGTTTGCAAGCAGTATCAGGAAATGAAGATGTTTCCTAGCAACCTATTATCAGTAAAGGGGTCTTCGCTGACCCAACTCTGACTCATGCTGCACGAATAGGATTTTTAGGATTCATCGTTGTTTTATTTGGAATTTAGCCTAAACTTTTATTTAAACCAATGTTTTATATTTTTATGTTTCAAGACAGTATTCAGAAATATGGTCCTTTTTATTTTCATACTGGATAAATACATTACACATTAGAGTATTGAACCATATCATCTATAGACTTGGATGTATTGAGTTGTTGATGACCCAGTGTTGAGTTAGAAAACAAACAGAACAGTTTAAAATAAATTAATGTCGAACAAGGAATTAAGAGGCAGTCCAAGAGAGTGTCGACGGAGCACCTTTACAGCCCTGGAAAGACTCTGGTTTTGAAGAAAATACTTTTAACCCTTTTAACATTTGAATTATTTGTATTGTTTTAATTGTATTTTTAAATAGTTTTAGACTATCTTTGTACTGAGATTATATTTTAGACAGCTCTGATTTTAGTTTCTTAGTCAAGTTTTTATGTTCTCCTGAATATTATGTTAAAATCTTAAACTTAGTAGTTGGCTCCTGTATTACCCAGTTTTGCTCTCTACCTGATTTAAAATAACCCTTTCCCTCTCCATACATTATTACCCCTCCCCCCTCCTTTACATAAAGTGAAAAAAGGAGCATCCTTTCATCTGAATTGATTAAAAGAATGTCTTTCTTGTTTAATTTATCATATTTTCCTTTTAAGTGAGTTAAAATACTAGTTCAAGTTGTCTGTTTCCACGTGTTGAGCGTTTAGGCCACAGTGAATGAAGAGATAAAAGGTAGGCGCTAGGACCCTGAGGGTTCACGTCTTTTCAGGTTACACACGATGCTGCCTTCACATGCTGCAGGAATTGTCATTATTACATTTAGTGGTGGAGAAGTAATGCCTAAAATCGACTGATAAGGTTCTGCGGTTTATCATAGAAACTATTTTAAGTAAAATGTTCCACTTGTAGATTTATGAAGTCACAATTGTATTAGATGTATTAGATTGTGGTAAAGTGAAATTACAAATGTTAAACTAAGTTATGGTTAGCTAGCTTTCAACTTCTGGCGACTGCAATTGTGACATGAAAACATGAAAGTGGTTTTGAATAATATTAATATCTCAAGTTAATTATTTAGCTGTCGGAAAATTCAGCGATTTAACTAAACTGAAGCCTCAAATTACTTAAAATAATCAGAACATGGGACCTATTTATTTAATTAATGACACAAAGTTATGAGTTATATATGGCCTTTAGATATTTGTTTGTCTCTCTATGGCCTCCATAAAAATCTGATCCACCATGATATAAATTCCCAACCAGTGAATTGCATGTAATGATTTAACCTTGTAAAGAAGAATTGTGCTTGTAAAATGAGCTCAGGATTAAATTGTTAGTTAAAAAACAATACCTATAACTATAACAACAAAACAAGTCATCGGAACCATGTTACTTGTAGACTATTCTGCACTATTTCAATGATATTTTATTTATTTACTTGCACTATTATCTGTTGTATTGTATTGCACTGTTGGAGGAGCCTGTGACCTAATATTTTAATCATCATAACTACACTATAGCTATGTACAAATGACAATAAAAGCCTTGCATCTTGAATGTTAGCACCTGTTTACCAACGACTAATAAATCCGAGTTTCTTAGGTGTCCCTGAAGAAGGCATGAGCGTCAAACCTCCACCCCTCGAGGAAGCTGAGCGACATCCATCAGACTCTCTGCTGCACTCTCGGAGGTACACACTTCTTCAGGCTGCACCCCACAAACGTTCCGCCGGGCTGTCACACCGATTTCCGGGCACAATCTGGTGATCTCCCCGCTGATTCCCCTCTCCATCAGGACCGAGGGAGAGATGCGCCGTCTGGGAGGAGTAGGAGGAGAAGAACAGCAGCAGCAGCAACACACACCTGCGAGCAAGATCTGAGTTTCTGTAACATCAGAGAAAGGTAAGTGCAGAAAGAAATGTTACCTGGTCGTGCTTCAGGCTCGGGGTTTTGTCTGATGCAGATGCTTTTTGTTGATTTCCGCGTTACTTCCCAGCATCAGGGGAAGGCAGGCAGTATGAGTCATAGCACGGATCTGCTGAGGAGCAAAGTGTCTGCAGCCTCCAAAGCCTCCTCTCTGATCAGTACATGCAAAGCGATGCACCTCTGTGTGCTGTTTAGGCAAATGACTGCTTACTGTGTGCATGTGTTTGCAGACACGTGTGTATGGGATAGTTATTTAACATGGCTAGCAAGATGTTGTATACCAGAATGAAACTCACACGTTTTTCTTTAGGAAACGTCTGATAAGTTTATACATTTAATTTTCTTTTAGGGCTGCAAATAATCTTTTTTTAGGTCGGTTAATCTTTCGATTATTTTCTCGATTAATTGACGAGGTGCTTGGTCTGTGTCAGAAAATGGTGACATGTTGTTTAGTGTTTATTTAACGCTACAGAAAACATTAAGCAGGCATCACATTGTTTCTGACTTTGAACTTGTTTAAAAAACATAACTTCCTGATTGATTTAATAGTCGACAACTAATCAATTTAATCTCTTGCAGCTTCTTATTCGACCCCTTTAGGCGCAATGATGCTACAGTACAGTCTAGCTTTTTGGACACCTCACATTTTTGACCAAAAGTAAGCTCTTGAAATAAATGGTTTTCCCAGTTTTGCTTGGAAGAACTTGACTGGACTGCACAGAACTCTGACATTCAACACCTTTGGGGTGAACTGAAGCATCAAATCCTTGCCAGAACTTCAAACAAACATCAGTTCTTGGACCTCTCTAATGCTCTTGTTGCTAAATGGGAGTGAATCCCTGCAGCCTGTATCCAACATGTTAGAAAGCCTGACAGAAAAATGTTGAAAGCTCCCCTGACCCTATTTGCATGCACCTTGGAGACTGCCCCTAACTTTAATTTCTCCATTTCTCTCTTTTATCAACATAAGGCTTCAAAATCTGATCATAAACTAAAAGTAAGACCTGTTGAACATCAGTTAACAGGGTTCTTACAGTCATTAAAAACCTGGAAAAGTCATGGAAATTCAAAATGTTAATTCCAGGCCCTGGAAAAGTTATGGAAAACAATATTTTTCACAAGGTTTTGGAAAAGTCATGGAAATGTAACTAAAGTTGCATCAAATATAATTTACATTGTATCTAATCGCCGAAATAGTAATACTATAATGATAATACATACTGTATCGTATGGTAATGAAACATAAAATGGCATTTAACTGACGAGGTATTTTGCTGGTGGGAGATTTTAGTTGCTTTAGCGTGTAGAAGCTAGTAAGCCTACTTGATTTGTTTTAGATAGGCACAACATGTTTCATATGCAGACCTTATTTTCCTGTTCCATGTTAAAATAAACCATTTTCAGTGGTACCGCTGAGAAAGTCATGTTTTTGGTCATGGAAAATTAGGTAAAGGTCATTGAAAATCATTGGTGAAAATGTGTATGAACCCTGAGTTAAGCTTTGTCCTCCACTGTAGAACACTGATAAGTAGTTATTGAGTCGTGCTGAATTGAACAACCTCAGTGTGAGTGTGGCTTACCGCTAAGCCCACTTGCAGTTTTCACATCTGACTTGTTTTACTGTAAACTGCACATCCAGGTGTTTCCCCCGGTAAGAGATGGTACACTCATCTGAAGCTCCTCTGGCAGAAATGAGTCTCTCTCTTAGACTGACTGTATTTGTTGACTCATAAATCAGTTTGTAAACTAAGATGGAAGGAGCAGAGGTAATTAGTGGAAGCTGCCTTTTATTGGTTTGGTAATTCACTCCGATCCCTTGAGCTGCTGGCTGCTTTATTGTTGTATTACGTCTCCAACATCAATCCAAGTTGATTCCTCACTGATGGACCCATAATGGAAATTACAGATTACATTCTCGCTGTTATCTCCACCATTGTTATACACTGAAAGGCGCTGCTTTTAAACGTTGCATTTCATAAAAAGATTAATTAATGAATGGAGATAAATCCTGAGTGTTGTGGCTTTAGCAGATGAACACAGCAAGTGTTTTAAAGTGTTCATTACTCTCATGGATGGCAATATGGCCAAAAGATAAATCATATTTTCTAATAATTCAATAAATAAATATTCCACATGAAATCACCTCATGGTAAAACCTACTCATGTTTGAATTAAACACCAGAAAAAAAGTACTCTATCTGGTATTTTCTTAAGAATTTTAGTGCAGAATGAAACATTTGAGAAATGCATTTTGGCTTAACTTAAACTATGAATATGAAAATACTAAAAGTAAACATTAAACAGCTTCATAAACAGTATATATTATACGTTATATTGCATTGCAGCAATACCAAGTGGAATAACCTCTCTTCGATATTAAAAGTAAACATAAAAAAGTGCACAAGAAAGTAATTAGACAGAAAGAATATTTACCAACCATTTAACAATAATCAATTGATTGTTAAAATAATCTTTATGCAAAAATATCCTAACATTTATTTTTTAAGCTGCTTTTATATATGGAGATCTCCTGATTTTCTCACATTTGTCACCAGTTAAGTGAATATCTGACAAAACAATACTTTGAAAGACATAACCTTGGACTGCGAGAAACTGCAATGGACATTTTTCACTATTTCCTGACATTAAATAATAATCAACAGTTGTTTTTATGCAGCTGTAGTTGAAAGATCAGCTATGTGTGCGAATGACTCTTTGTCACAGTTTGCATACGTCTGTGTAGCAGTTTCACTAAAGACTTGTTTTTTCTCCTCGGACCGTTTCTCTGTTATAGTTTTTAGTAAACTGTCACACAGACGTTTTGCACACGACATTGTTGAAGAACACCCACTGCCCGCAGCAGCTGATGCGGAGGGGAGCCTCCCGGTAGACTCTGCAGGGAGACACTGGGGGAGGACGCTTGCCATCATAATTTATTGAAACTACTGCCTGCCGTTTAAATTGTGACGCAGCAGCTCACACCTCAGAATAAACAAAATCCAGGTTACTGTTGGGTTTTCTACGATCTGAGTTTTAGGATTAGCTGAAAAGAGTCCAGGAAGCTTAATTACAAGTTAACAGCGTTTAATAAAACAATGATACAATTAATTTGCAAATGGTTAGCCCGGCCGAGCTTGCTCTCTCCAGTCGCAGGGGATGAGAAAGAGACAGGCTTCCTGTTTGTGTCACATATTTATCATCTGTAGTCTTCTCTCATTGGCTTAGCATCGACGGGGGGCGGGTCCACAGCACGTCCTGTCGTTTTCTGATGTTAACTTCACAATCTTCTAATATCTGTTGGTCATTTAAACATTCCCTAATAATAGTATTGCAGCGTCAATAAGTGAGAGTTGAAGACCCACGTGTCATTCTCCTTATATTCACGTACACACAATAATATTAGCTACATGCTAATGCCACAAACACCGTCTGCCAGACAGGAAGTTGAGTGCGTCGACAATGTCGTGAACATCCGGTTACAGAATAAAACAGTGTTATTCATTTAAAGTTTACGGCACATATATATTGATTTTATTCCTTTACCTTCCATACAGACACCACACCTGAGATCTGGCTGACCATTATGAGCGCATGTGTGATCTTAACTCCAGTTTATTGTAAGATTATAATTAAAGTCATTGACGTCCTTCAGGTTGGGATCAATCCAGGCTTCTTTTTTTTCTTAAATCATTGCATACAAATCAGGAAGAATCCGTGACCAATGGAACCCATAGATTTGGTTTTATGTGATTAAAACCATGCACGAGACACAGGAAAAATAACGTTAAATTCAACATGATATATATTTTGTTTTAATAAAATAATAACAAAATCATAATGAAAAGATCAGATCAGGGTAAAACAATTACAACACAGTTCTAAAAACACAGAAGATAGACCATAGGATAGATTGTCTACCAAATTCTCCAAAACCAAGTATATGTGACTCTTTTTTAATGTTGTGATACAGTCCCATAGTGGCTGACATTGTTACACACTTGATGTTAAATGGTGACGATATTTGTATGTCTTTCACGCTCTTAAAACTACATCCCCTGACCTCCTCGATTGCACCAGTCACAATTACTAAAACCACTCCAGGTCGCCTCATGACAACTAACGTAAAGACGGGTCATAATGAAATGCTTTTACAAAGTCGAAGCTTAGAAAAATTCAACACTTATGTGCAGCAGAAATTCATTTGTTCTGAACATCCCTCTAAGGTTAGGAAACACTCCTCTTTCTTTTCCTGAATAATGCCAATCGGATCGAGATAACAATAATTAGCAGCCACAGTCAAACTAATTGCTCAGCCTCAGACCTGTAGACCTTTCACGCTGTTGTCAGATAGTTTTTATGAGGTGCACCAGCAGTTTCCATGGTAATGTTTGAGAACCCAGTTGTACTTTTGAGGATTATCCGGACTGAATTGCCACCTGTGAGAATACAGGTTGGATGTGTTGCTACGATGATTTTCCGTGACCTTTTAACTCTGAGACGGCTCTCCCTAACCGTCGTGCCCTTTCCTCCTCGACCTGTGTCTGTCTCTGTCACTGCCTCACTCTCCTGCCAGCCACCTGCAGTGTATTGACCAGAAGCAGCAGGATTCAGCCTTTTTAAGATGATTAATGCATAGATAAGATTGCCACCTGATAGCGAGGGCCTGACTGACTGCAGTAACACTTCTCTCCGAGCCAAGCGTGGTGTGTGCGGTCCCGATGGCTGTCAGCAGAATTGAGTTTTAGTGATAGAAATGTTTCTTGGCAGCAATAATTTGCTTAAAGCTCCATAGGAAGTTGGAGCCAAATAACCAGAGTGTAACAAGTTCACTGGAGACAGTACGTCTCGAAATCACCAAATTATATCTGGCATTTTCAACTCGTATTAAAGCGGCTATAATTCAGATTTTTTTATAGCCTATTGCTAATGGATCAAATGACAACATGTATATGAAGTAGGGCCACTCGTAGAACAAA